CTCAGCAAGACCCTGCTTCGAAACACCAAAAAGTCACAGAAATGGGATTATAGAGTATACAGCCTTTTCGTTTGTCTCACTCAGCTGAACTATAGGGAAATTTCATCCACCCACTTTTCCTGTGCATCAAGAGATGGCTTCTCTTTGTCACTAAGTTGAATTCTGTAGAATAATGTGCTACACTTTTTTTGTGTGCTACACTTTTGACCATTCACTGTCTGATGGGCAGTGCTTTGTTTCCAGCTCTTGGCTCAAATAGTTTGTTAAACGACTGTGCATAGGTTTTCAACAGAACATCTTCCCTTTCCTTAAGAAATGAGACTCAATGAAGAGTGCAACTGCCGGGCCACACAGCAGTCACCAGTTTATTTTTTGTGGTCCTGTAGATCTTGCACCTGCTCCTTAAGTGATCTATCCCTGAGCTACACTCCAACCCAGGTTGCCAGTGTAGTTTTCAAAAGCTGTTTTTGTTTCATGCTGGGAACTGAACCCAGGGTCTTCACACTGAGCTACATCCCAGCATTTTAAGACAGGGTCTTGCTAAATTGCTAAGCCACCCAAGCTGGACTTGAAATTTCGATCCTTGACACCATGCCAGGCTCTTTGCTGTTTGTCTGACACAGGGTCTCAGTTCAGGCTGACCTTGAACTTGTACTCCTTCTGCAGTTAAAAGCTTGGATTATATGGGCTGGGGATTCACCTCAGTGGTTCCAGCACCTGCCTCGCAGATGCAGGGTCCCAAGTTGATCCCCAGTACCAAAAAAAAAAGCTTGGATTTTAAAAAACAGACTTTTAAGGGCCGGGAATTTAGCTCAGTGGCTTTGCCACCTTCCTTGCAAGGGCAAGGACCCAGGTTCGATCCTCAGTACCAAAAAAAAGGCTTAGTTGTGGATACAGCTCAATGGTAGAGCATTTGCTTACCAGGAATGATGCCCTAGGCTTAATCTCCAGTACTGCAATATATTAATAAATTCTTTTAAAACAATTAAAGAAGACAAGCAATTTCACCCCAAACGACTCACCCTTCTCCTCTCCCAAGATTGCACACCTAATTTTTCACAGGCCGTGGTGAGCACTCACCCAGACACCCACAGGGCACCTTGTGTCCTGGCCACCTCTCATCCCTCCTTTAAGGATGCTCTGTGGCTCGCTTATGGCACAAAGTGTGTAGTAAAAGCTTAGGACCCCTGGGGCCCAGGAATTTATTTCTGCATTGGTCACGTTTAGACCTATTTAGATAGGGTCTATGTCACCCAGGCTGGCACTGAAAACCTGGGCTTAAATGATCCTACCTTAGCCTCCCAAATAGCTAGGACTTTGAGATGTGTGGCTTAGACTTTTTAAATTGTGAATGTGTGGCTATGATTTACCTGCAAAATACCTAAGTGAACAATTAAATGCTTTTTTTTCCTTTTTGAGACAGGGACTTGCTGTACAGTTCAGGCTGTCCTTGAATTCACTATGTAGCCCAGGCTGGCCATGAACTTACAGCCATCCTCCTGCCTTAGCCTCCCAACTGCTGGAATGACAGGTGTGCATCACCATATGTGGCTTTTTTCTTTCCTTTTTGTTTGGGGGTGGGGGGATGACAACAGTACCAGCGATTGAACCAAGGACCTTTACACTAAGCTACAGCTAATATCCTGGGCCATTTTTGAGACAGTGTCATGCTAGATCACTAAACTGCCTAGACTGGATGGGGATTTAGCTTAGTGGTTTCGCCGCCTACTGTGCAAGCGCAAGGACCCGAGTTCAATCCCCGGTACCAATACTAATAATAATAATGATAATCGGGGCTGGGGATTTAGCTCAGTGGTTCCACCGCCTGCCTCGCAAGCCAAGGACCCAAGTTCGATCCCCAGTACCAAAAAATAATAATAATAATAATAATAATAATGATAATAAAAAATAAATTGCCTAGACTGAGCTTGACCTTTCAACCCTCCTGCCTTAGCCTCCTAAGAGAGGAGGAATCTTGGGTCTGAGCACTCAGCTAGCTTTTTTTTTTTAATTACCCAGCAAGGCTGAGTGTGGCGGCCCATGCCTCCCAGCACTCGAGAGGCTGAGGCAGGAGGGCCACCCTGAACTGTACAGCAAGATCTTGTCTCAAAAAAAATAAAAAGTACCAAATTACTCAGTTAATTTCTGGTTTTATTCTTTAAAACGAGAGACTCAAAGAAATTAGTTCAAGGAAAAAAAGCAAGTGACCTGAAAGATTGATGAATCCCCACACAAGACTTTACCCTAGTCTGAATCACAATCCTTATGAAATTCAAGAGAGATCTTTGGCATGTTCAAGAAAAACTATCAGAGACTTCAAATTGCCAGTAGAACCACTTCTCACTGATCACCTAAAATTGTAAAAATAAACTGGAACAAATGTACACAGTTTAATAAAAGGACACACACATTCAATTTTGTAACTAAACGATCTTTGGTGATCAAATATGGCCTCCAGGAAAATGGCCTTTGGCTTCTAAACAAGTTGATTTAATACTAGGTACATTTTAGGGGGCACAGAGCACAGTTCAGTGGCAGAGCTTGCCCAAGGTTCACAAAGTCTTGGGTTCAATCCCCACAAAGAAAATTTGAAGGAAACAAACAAAAAAGTTACATTTTCGGTATCTTTAGTAAATGGACATTTAAGAAGAAGCAAGAAAAATGAATTTCAACTGGACATCACTTTCAGAAGATATCTATAAAACAGCAGTTACAGTGTCTTGCTCTTTAGTTTTTTGTTTTTGTTTTTTTTTGGTACCGGGGATTGAACTCGGGTCCTTGCGCTTGCGAGGCAGGCAGCGGAACCACTGAGCTAAATCCCCAGCCCTGCTCTTTAGTATTTGTAACGGGATCACCTGCAACATGCTATCAAGGACTTAGCAGATCATAACTATCATTAACAATTTTATTTTATTTTTTGGTACCGGGGGTCGAACTCAGGACCTTGCGCAGGCACGGCACCACTGAGCTAAATCCCTGGCCCTATCATTAACAATTTTAAATCCCAGCACTCAGGAGGCTGAAGCAGGAGGCTCACCCCAAGTTCGAGGCCATCAGGGCTACCAAAGCAAGACTCCATCTCAAAAAAACAAAAACAAAAAATTTACTTCATGCACTGGCTTCCCCAATACACATCTGTCTTCTCTCAGTACCATTTTAGCACCAACTTACTCTTATAACAGATGTAAGCTACTTGTTTCACCTAAAACTGGCAAATGCTGCAGCAAAAATCTGAAGCCCACTCGCCTCCCTGAAGGGCCCCAAATTTCTCCAATAACTGTGCACTCTCAAAATGAGCCTCCAAAACTCTAAAAGTACTAGTAGCTAACGTAATTTTTTGCTATACTAGACAAGTTCTATCAGGAGAAACAAAAAATGCAAATTTGGCACCTCTCAGCTCCAAAAAAGGGGTGATTCTCAGGCTAACCCAAGCTCCCAGAAAATAGGAAGACTGACACTTCAGTGCCTAGTGCAGTCAAGGCCAAGCCTGGTAGTAAATACCAGCCTGTAATCTGAACTACAGAGTGCTAGGGCCTGTACAGCCTCCATTCATTCAAATGCCAGGGTCTGGGAGCTATCCACAGGCCGTAAGACAACACTGGCAGGACAGCAGTACCTGCCAGCATCCCTTTTCATGTCCCCGTCGTGAATGAGTCTCTGGTCCCCACACGTCACTCCCTGTCTGAGTCCCTGCTGCAGCTACAACCCTGGAGACCAAGCACAAAGCATCACACAGAACGCACAGTAGTGGGACTGTGAGTAAACCAAGGAGCTTCCCAATCATAAACACCTGGGGAAAAGAGAACACGCAGTCCTGTATCTGAACCCTAACTGCTGAGAGCAACTCTCATTTTCCAGTGGAGCCCAAATTTTCCATCACACCACTCATTTTAAAAGGGTAGTATCTTGAACCACCAGAAAGATATATTCAGAAACTGATCCTGCCTAGCAGACCACTCTGATCCCCAAGCAGCAACTTGCTGCAATTCTGGAAACATTGGGAGGAGATAGCTTACACTCCCCAAGTTTGGAAATCATCAGTGCAAGAACATGCAGATTATCGTACATCCCAAATAATTTATCCAAACAGGTGGAGAATTAACCCTAGGCACAACCTCACGAGTACCTTCAAAAATCTCCATCACTCAACTTGAAGAGAAAGGTAGGAAAAGGCTTTAAGCACCCACGTTTTGGTCCCCATCTTGCAGATTACAGAGCCCCCAAACACCGAGTCACATCACACTTTGGGAAGAAGATGCAAATCCTAAGAAACCTGGAAAACACTCAGTGTCAATGAAAATCAACTGATCTAAACAAAAGGCAAAGTAAACTGACCCAAGTTTGGAGCCTGATCTGGGGGAGGCCTACGGACCCTAGATTTGGGAACCCAACGAACCCACAAAGACTTCCTCTGTAATCCGCCTAGAGAAGGAGTTTCCAGGGAGGGGGATTCAGTCTCTCCGTGCCCGGTTGAAGACAAAAGCAAGCGGAGGTTTCCCGCCTTAGGAACCTGGGACCTTCCGGGCAACGGGGAGGGACCGAGACAAAGAGGAAGAGGGGGTCGGTCCAGCCAAGCCTGGCAGGATGATCGGAGCCCGAGGGGGGTGTGTGCGCCAGGCACGTGCGCGCGTGCGCGAGGCAAAGCAACAGACAAAGCCTGGCCCGCGGGAGGCGGCGGCCCGGGGTCCGGTGCGCACGCACCCCGCAGGCTGAGGGGCCACGCGTGGGGGGGGGGCGGCTGCGCGCGCACCGGGCCCTCGCCGCCGCCATCTTGTTTCCTCCGCACAATGGGGGAGAGTAACGGCCGAGCGCGGGAGCGACGCGGGCCAGGAAGAAGCAACCGGGCGCCAGAGCGAGGGGAACGGGTGCAGGACTGGGCTGCGGAGCGTCACCAACCTTGTCACCGCCAACGCTCAGCCGGGACCGCGCTGAGAGGGAAAACGGACGGGGGGAGGGGCAGAGGCAGGAGCGGGCCGGAGCGCAGCCACATTGACGCTTACCTTCTCGGCGTCCCCTTCCCCGACAGCAGCTGCCGCTGCCTCCTCCCTCCTGCCACAGCCCACCGGGGTCTCCCCCCAAAAGCCACGCGGTGTGCGCCGGGCAGCTGAGTCCAACTGCAATGGCGAGAAGAGGAGGAGGAGACGGGGGCGAGCGGGCTGGCGGGCGGGCGCGCGCCGGGGAGGTGCGGGACCACGTGACCGATCGGAGCCCCGCCTCCTTATCGTCGCGTAGCCGCACGACGCAGACCCAACCCGAGTGAGGGGGCGGGGCGAAGAGCTGGAAGTGGGCGTGTTCACACGTGATGAGAGCGTAGGCGCTGCGTGACTGGTCACGTGGCCCCAGTACCAGTCTTTTCCTTCGGATGCTGTCGCTTAGTCATGTGACAGTGTCGAATGCGCCGTCCTACTTCGCCACGTGACGAAGGCTTTTACCCCTTATTTTCTTCCTATTAGTTGGTCTATATCACGTGATCAAAAAGCCTTTCATTTTTTTTTTTTTTCAATGGCGGTTTTGAGCAGCCTTTACCACGTGAGGCACGCAGAGGGGCGGCCCTTGTGACGGGTGCGCATTTGTACGCCTGCGCGGCTGCCATCTTATTCCCGTCGCCTTGAGTACGTTGGCGGAAACGGTTCCTAGAGTCTGGCACGTGTGTTCCTCAATTCGGGAATAGCGGGCCCTCGGGGCTTCAGTCTCCAACGGAGAGGGATCGCCGCAGTTCTCTCGTCTTCTGCTAGAGGCGGAGAGGCGGGGCCGGGCTCCTTGCTGGAGCTCCACTCCGACCCCACGCTGATGAGCGCTCCAGTTCTTCAGCCCCGAGAACCTTGCTGGGTGCAGGGCCTGCCAGTAACACTCCCGGAGCCTCCAAAGGCTGCAGGCGAGTGTTCATGATCCTCCAGCGGCCCCTCTACCGCCCCGCTTTTTGACAGCTGGAAAAACTAATGCTCAGACCCGAAAAGACTGTATAGGACTCCCCGCCAGCTTGGGGAGGGGCGAACTGGGACTCCAAGCTGCTCGGCTCCTAAGTAAAGGACCAGTGGCCTGCAGCTTTTTCTGTTGTTCTTTCAGTGTTTTGAGTTAAGCTCTTACTATGTAATTCAGGCTGCCCTTGAATTCGGGGCAATCCTCCTGACTCAGCCTCCTTATTGCGTACGCCACCACGTCTAGCTCGAGAGTGCCCTTTTCATTGTGGGTCAGGTTTTAGCTGTGTGGTTACACTGGCCTTGAACTGTGTAACCGAGGCTCGCCTCGAACTTGGAGCGATCTTTCTACCTCAGCCTCCCCAGTGATGGGACCTTCTTAAAAGCACGTTGTGGACCCGGGTATGGGCGCTCACACTTGTAATCCCAGCTATTGGGAGGCGGAAGCGAGAGGATTTCGGCTCTTCAAGACCAATCTGAGTAGTATAGCAAGACCCTGTGGCGAAAAACACCCCAACAAAACCAGCAACCGTGGTGTGGTTGAATCCTCCCTGGAAGCTTGTGAAGCTCCCAGTGTCCTTACACTAACCCTGTTCTTTGCCAGGGTCCAACTAGACCTCAGCAGGCCTGCTTGCTAAGCAGGCAGAGGGATGCCAGGCTGTTCTTCAGAAGTTCCCAGGATTCCTTGGCAGAAGTTCAAGTTCAAAATGTGTCTATGTGAAGAAAGTATCCAACATTAAAGGCCAAAACCAAACAAATCAGTTTAAAACAACTCCAGTGTAAAAAGGGATCATGGTGATGCACGCCTGTAATCTCAGCTATAGGGAGGCTGAGGCAGGAAGATCAATGCCAGTTTGAGGCCAGCCTGAACTTCATAGCGAGACCCTGTCTCAAAAACAATAGTTTAGCTGGGGATTTATCTTAGTGGCACCAAGCCTACCTTGAAAGCACAAGGTCCTAAGTTGGGTAAAATGGTCGAGTCATGTATCCAAATAGAATTAAGTAGAGATGGTTCAAGGTCCATGTGGCAGTAATGAATTGTAAAGTGGGGCTTGGTTGGTGGTGCATGCCTGTAATCCCAAAGCTCCAGGAGGCTGAGGCAGAATGGTGGCACGTTCAAGCCTAGTGTGGGCAAAGTAGTGACATAGCAAGCCTGTGTCAAAAAGGCTGGGGATGTGGCCCAGTACAAGCGTCTTAGGTTCAGACCCCAAGGAGGGAGGGAGAGAGGGCGGGGGATGTAGCTCGATGGAAACAAAAGCCTTGGGTTCAGTCCCTAGTAGCCCCAGCCAAAAAAGCGCCTAAATCAGCTGTAACCTTTTTTTTGGTGCCGGGGATCGAACTCAAGTCCTTGCTCTTGCGAGGCAGGCGGTGGAACCACTGCGCTAAATCCCCAGCCCTCATCTGTACCATTTTACTGAAAGCCCAAGCAGAGACCAACGGTGCCTGCTTGACCCTAGAGGAAACGTCCAAAGAACTTCCCCGAGCTCACAGCACCGCCAAGTGGCAGAACAGGATTCGTCCTCGTTTCCCCTCCTGCGTTCATATGGGAGTTTTCTCCAAGGCAACTCCCTTAGAAGGGACCAAACACAGAAAGGAGCGGGTGGGATTATGACTATAGTAGCCAGCGTGTTGGAACAAGCAAACGGAATCGAAAAATTACAGGTTTCAAAACCACTTCCGTGAAGCTGGGTGTAATGGCACATACCTGTAATCCCAGCACTCCGGAGGCTGAGGCCAGATCACTGCGAGTTCCAGGCCAGCCTGGGCTACAGAGCCAGACCCTGTCTCAAAAAAAGGGGAGAGGGCAAAATCAAAGGAGAGAAGGAAATGGGATGAAAAAAATTGAGATGTGTTATGTACATGTACCAACTCCCACACGTTGCGTGTAGCCATTATGTACTGCAGACGTACTAATAAAACTAAAAGAAGTGCACGGGAGTGTATGTTAGCCAGAACAGCCACCCCTCAATCCCAGGCAGAAGTGTAATTCCCCGGCCTTGGGACTCGGGACGGATAGGGCGGCGCGCGCCCCCTCTAGGACGAGTGCTGAACCGCACCTTTGCCGGGCCCTTCTTCCAGTGTCCCCACCCCCAGCCCTCTTTGGCTCACTGCTTTCACGTTCCCCGCGGAATTAATCACCTCAGTTCTATCTTCTCATTATTTCCAAAATCTGAACCCTTTCTTTTTTGAGACAGAGTCACTACATATCGGGCTGGCCTCGAACTCACTAGCCTAGGGTCTCTTCAAATTAGTCCTCTCCCAGCCCTCAGGTGCTGGAACTCATGCATTTGTAGCCCAGGCTGGTCTCAAACAAACACAGTCCTTCTGCCTCAGCCTCCCGAGTGTGGAATCACAGGGGTAAATTGATCTATCCTATCTCATCTCGCTCAAGACTGGGGACACCAAGGAAAGAGAAGTAAGTCATTTTCAGTACTTACAAGGACATCCAGGTGCCAGTTTTTATTGTGTGGTCCTGGGGATGGAACCAGGGCCTTCACACTGAGCTGCATCCCCAGCTGTATCTTTATTTTTTATTTTAAGATAGGGTCTCCTTACATTTCTAAGTTGCCCACGGTGGGCTCAAACTTGCCATCCTCCTGCCTCAGCCTCCCAGAGTGCCAGGATTACAGGCGTCCATTACCATTCCCGGCCCCACTGCTCATTTCTTAAGGTCCGGCTCCAAACTCCGGTCATTGACCTGCAGGCTCCTTGGGTTCCAGGAAAAGCAGAGCCTGGCAGACCTCCCCCTGGTGAGGTCACCCCCTCCCCACAGGAACAAAGGCTGTGCTGTCATCTGAGGGAAACCTGACCCCTCCCCATACCATGTGACCAATCCTGAGATGCCATCAGCCAGACCTTTGCTGGACCACAGTGATCTGTGCTGCCATCTACGCACACCCCAGCCCTTGCCTGGTTCCCCTTCTCTGTAAGACCCCAAAGCTGCTGTCAGCCCAAGAAGACAGCTCTGGAATCAGTGTGTCCTTCCCAGCACGGCCATGCTGATCCAAGCTCCTGTCCCTCCATTGCCCCACTCCTCTCCTTGGACATATAGGACAGGTGGCCCAGCCCCAGAGCTGGGGCTTTTACTCCCAAAACTCTGGTAACAAGAACAGTATAACAGTGGCCCAGGGATTTAGCTCAGTGATTCCGCTGCCTGCCTCACAATCACAAGGTCCAGAGTTCGATCCCCAGTACCAAAAAAAAAACACCAAAAAAACCCACAAAGAACAGTTTTTCAAAGAATTAAGATGTATTGAAGCTGGTTGTGGTGGTGCACACCTGTAATCCCAGGACTTGGGAGGCTGAGGCAGGAAGATCGCTGTACATTTGAGGCCAGCCTGAGCTACACAGTGAGTTCAAGGCCAACCTTAACTACATAGTGAGACCCTGTATCAAAAAAAGAATTAGGGGCTGGGGATTTAGCTCAGTGGTTCCGCCGCCTGCCTCACAAGCACAAGGACCCGAGTTCGATCCCCAGTACCAAAAAAAAAAAATTAAAATGTGTTGATCTAGGAATGGTGGTGCACACCTGTAATCCCAGCACTCTGGGAGGCTGAAGAAGGAGGATTGCAAGTTAGGGACTCAAGTCTCGAAATGAAAAATAAGAGGGCTGGGATATACCTAAGTGCAAGGGTCCTGGATTCAATCCCAGTACCAAATTAAAAAAACTAAGAGGTTTATGTCCGTGTACCAATTCCTTATAATGAATGTAATCATTAGGTACTGAAAACAGTACTCATTTTTTTTAAATTAAAAGAAACTATTTTCATACCATGTACAGTGTATCTAGAGTTATGTCACCTAGAGATAATCAAGAGTCTGCTGGAAGGCTGGATGTAGATTTTATGCAAATACAAGTTTAAATATGGGACTCCAGCATGCAGTTTGGTATCTGAGGGGTCCTGGAACTAATCTTACACAGATTCCAAGGGAAGACTGTACTCAAATATAGTGGATGGGAAGCTGGGCGTAGTGCTGCAGACCTGAAATCCCAGTTACTCTGGGAGGCTGAGGCAGGAAGATCCTGGCAAGTTGAAGGCCAGGCTGGACTACATAGTGAGACCGTCTCAAAAAACAAAAATTGGGCCGGGAATTTAGCTCAGTGATTCCAGTGCCTGCCTCGAAACCGCAAGGTCCTGAGTTCGATCCCTGGTACCAAGCAAAACAAAACAAAAACAACAACAATAACAAAACAAAAATAAAAAGTACAACATATGTTTAGCATGTGTAAGGTCTTAGGTTCCACCCTCAGCATCAAAACAAAAAATAGAAACAACAATGGCAAACATACCCACCCCACCCCCCACCCCGCCGCCAAAGAAAAAGTGGCTAGAACCCAATACCTGGGCAGGCTTAGCAGTCTGCATGGTAACAATCCCAGGCCATCTGGCCTGGGGGGGGCGGCAACACGAGTGGCCACCAGGGGGTAGCAGCGAGCCCATACTGGGGTGGCCCCCTTGTGGATGCAGAGCTGCTGGCCAAGGCTGTGGGGCCTCAGGTGAAGGCCACCGAGGAAAGACTGGGTAGGCGTCCAGGACACAGGGCTGGGAGGTGGGTGGGCGGTGCCCACCTCCTGGGCCTCAGGGAGCAGGAACTGAAAAGGGCCGTTTGTGAGCCAGGCGCCTTCAGGAGAAACCTGAGCTGCCTGCCTGGTGGAATCCAGGCTGAGATCCAGGCCAGCAGACAGTGGGCTTCCTGGCCCTCCCTCTTCCTTATGAAAAGTGGCCCCAGCTCAGAAAATCCCAGAGCCTTGCAAGCTGGGGTTCCCCCTACCAGCTGCCCGCTGTCCCTCATAAACACACCAGGCAGGGACCCATATGGTAGGCACTTTATTAGTGGTTGGAATGCAGTTATATATGCACAGGACTATGGGGACCAGATGGGGACAACGGCAGGCTGGTTGCAGGCACAGGAAATGGGGGACCCCAGGCTGGAATTCACCAGAACCCCAGATGGAGCTGAAAGGTGGAGGCATGAAGCCTGGGGTGGGGGGCCGCTGGAATAGGGAAATGGCAGGTGAAGGGGAACCCAGCAACTTTGTCCCCTAAGTTTAACAAGTTTGGCAAAGGGATCCCCAAGGTGGGAAATATCTGGGCAGAACCCTTCCAACCTCCCAGGCCCCGGAAGATGTCCCCTGGGCAGTCACTTTCTTTCCTCTCTTACCAAGAAAGCAGAGTCAGAAACTGGCCGGCCTGCACTTTCCCACTAAGGCCATTAATATTTTCAGCCTGGCCCAGCTCCCCCCACCCCAGTTCAGCCTCTCTGGCTGGGAGACCCCCACCCCACCTACCCCAGCCACAAATGAAGGCACTGCCTGGCGTCTCCATCCAGCTGTGGAGACAGGAATGAAAGCTAATAGACCCTTTAATGCATGTCCAGGTTAAAAAAGAATAAATGCATCCAGTGGCAGACAGACTCAGTCCTCGTTGGAAGGCAAAGAGTTCAAGGTGGCTGACTGGCTGCTCCCTCATATGTGAACATCGTCCTTTCCACTGGCCATCTTCCACACAGGAAGCACGAAGGAGCCAGCAGAGGCCCGGCCACCTCCCATCCTACAGGTTTGACAGATTTGTCCCCATCCAGGCCAGAGAGGGTTGGACTGACTGGTTTTTCTTTCTTTTTTGGTTTTTTGAGACAAAGAGTCTCTCTATGTAGTTCAGGCTGGCCTTGAACTCGCAGAGATCCTCCTGCCTCAGCCTCCCCAGTGCTAGGATTACAGGCATGTCCCGAGCTGGATTGACACTTTTCAGCCCAGTCTTGTGAGGCTTCTGGGAAAACTGAGTGCCCCTTGATTTAGTTAAGAGAGGTGACACCCCTCATCCTCCAGGCCCCCAGAAATCGGTAGGGGCTGGATCAGAGGCAGGAGGCAGATAGGCAGTGATCAGACTTCCAGCCTGGCAAGCACCGCTGGGAAGCATCTGGCTTGGGAGGCTGGGAGAAGTGGGGGCCTTTAGGACTCTACCAGCTTCTTTTTCATTTGTTTGTTTTTTGAGACAGGGCTCACTATGTAGTCCAGGCTGGCTATACAAAGATCCCAGAGATCCTCCTGCCTCAGCCTCCCAAGTGCTGGGATTACAGGCACGAACCACCACGCCTGGCTTTAGGACTCCACCTGCTTCTTGTTGGTCTTGTTCAAGAGCTTCTTGAGGGTGGAAGACATGAAGTAAGGCCTCTCAACAGAGCCATCATTCCGCTCCAAATCCTCCACTGTGGAGAGAGGCCCCAGAGCAGGTGGTGTGAGACAGAGCCCATGGGCAAAGGCCACTGAGGATGGGGGGTGGGGCAGGGGGGATCAAGGCCACCGAGAAGCCTCGGGACAGTTAGAAAGCAACACACACTAGGACCAAAGAGGGCAGGCTGCAGTGGGCTCAGCTCGGCCGAAGAATCCCCACTCTCGAAGGAAGGAAACCCCCGCATGCACTCAATGTCCGGGGACGCATGGCCCACACACCAGTTTCCCTCACTCTCTACTCCTCGACTTCCGCCCGCTTGCCCTCCTCCGCACTCCCCTTTAACAGGATGTCTCTCAGCTCGGGCGACATGAAGTAGGGTCGCTCCTGAGAGCCGTCATTCCGCTCAAGATCCTCACCTGGGCCCCCCAGGAACCGGCAGGGGGGAAATGGGGGAAGTCAGGAAAAAGAGGGAGGAAAGGGAGGCAGGGGAAGAACAGGGAAGCCAGCAGGCATGGAGGAGAGGAAGAGAAAAGAGAAAACAAAACAAAAATGGACATATGGAGAGATCAGAGTTAGTGGCAGCCACAGGTCCCCCCCACCCCAGGAAAGCCAGAAACTGCAAAGCTGAGGGCCCAAGGGACAGTGACCCGGGTGCAGGCAGGGCCAGGGGACCAGGACACAGCAGCTCCAAGCAGTGAGGAGGCTGAGAAGGCATGCTGGGGCCAAGGACAGGAGACAGCCAGGCCCTGGAGAATGGGGGTGCTGGGCAGGTGACAGTGTGGTCCCAGGGGAGGGAGATGTTAGATTGAGTGGGGACAAGGGACTCGGGGCCCCACGAGCCTGGGGTGAGGGAGGGGTCACTCACAGAAGCAGAGGAACAGTGTATCCACACACATGCCATAGACGCTGAAGAAACCATGGGCGATTAGGTAGGAGCCGACAATAACTGTCTGGGCAGAGACATGACATAATTTGTTTGTGGCCCAGTTCCTGTCCAGAGCAGCCCCTCACCAGCCATTCCCTTCCCCCAGGATGGCATGTCACTCTCCTGCTGGCAGGGACCCATCTTTCCTATAACTTGCTGTTTCCTTCAACCCCAGGGCCTTTGCATATGCTGTTGCCCCCACTGAAATCTAGTTCATGCCCCATCACTCTGCTGCTTTTAGTTCTATCTCCAAGTCCTCAGGTATCACCTGCTCCTGGAAGTTGCTGATGACCCTGAGACCCTGTTTTATGCTCTCTTGGCCCTGTGCACTCCACCTCAGGCTTGCTGTTGAGGGCACTGTATGGATTTCATGACCATATCCTTACTGGACTGTGTCACCACATTTATTGCTACATCCCTAGCAATCTGGTGACTCCCAGGCCTTGGGAGCTGCTGATAAGCATCAGTTGAGTGAGGCCAGTAGACAGATTAAAGAACTTGTCCAGAATTACTCATCTGGGAACTAGAAAGTAGAGGAACTGAGATAAAAATCTAGGTCATTGGACTCCGAGGATCGTACTATCTTTATTTATTTATTTTTTGATTGTACTATCTTCAGGATAGACACTCACCCTTCCACAGCTGTCATTTCGTGGTCTTATCTCTATTTTTTTCCCCTGTACTGGGGACTGGACCCAGGGCCTTCTCACTAAGCTACATTCCCAGCCCTTTTTATTTTGAGACAGGGTCTTGTTGAGTCACTAAGCTGCCCATGCTGGGCTGGAACTTGCAATCCTCCTGCCTCAGCTTCCAAAAGAATTTGGATTCCATGCAGAGCTTATCAATATCATTGTTTTTTTGTTTTGTTTGGTACTGGGGATCGAATTCAGGTCCTTGGCTTGCGAGGCAGACGGCAGAACCACTGAGCTAAATCCCTGGCCCTCAATATCATTCTTTTTTTAATTTTTAAAATTTTTTTGGTACCAGGGATCGAACTCCAGTCCTTATGCTTGTGCAGCAGGCAGTGAAACCACTGAGCTAAATCTCCGCCCCATATCATTCTCGATTAATGTCCATTTACCTAAAAACTGTAAGGCCCCCAAAGAGAAGGAACCCTCTCACCTTAGCACCTGGTGTGTGGCAGGTACTGAGTCAGTATTTGTGGACTGAATAAAAATCCCTCACCTCTCACCTTCATCCACATCTATCCTAAGTCAAAAGAGAAGCCAAGTCCCAATTTCCTGCCTGGGCCCTGATCTGAACCCAAAGGTCCATACCAGTATAGGAACCCAGTAATAGTTGAGAGGTGGCGCTGTGTCTTGCACGATTCTGATGCGATGGGTGAAAAAGAAGAAAGCCAGGATTCCTGCAGGAGGAAGGAACCCAGAGAGTTGAGTGTCTGGCTATAGGAAAAGGGTCTCCGCCCTGTCCTACAGGATGACATCACAGAAGTCACAAGGCCTGATGAAAGCTTGAAGGTCACTCCCAATAGCCTGGGTGGCTACACTCACCCACACTGCCCACAATCAGGAGTTTGCCCAGCAGGAAGAGGAAGTCGGTAACTTTGTCCAAGACAGCAACCCTGCAGGGAACAATGAGGGACGAGAGTGAGTGGGGACTTGGGACTAGGGAAGGAGGGAGGCTGGAAGAGGATGGTGTCGCCCCTGACCTGATGATGTTTCTCATGAGCAGGAAGAAAGCATTTCTGGCAGAGGTGCAGAAGTTGGTGCCGTAGATGGCGATCTGGAGGGGAGAAGGGGTCAGGCCCGCTGGGTGCTGGGTGCTGGGTGCTGGGTGGGCCCGGGGGCTCCATGCACCCTCAGCAGGAGCTGCTGGGTTGGCTCAGCGTCCAGGGCCCACTCACCATGATGTAAGCATTCCTGTTGAGGAACTTTATGAACTTCTCCAGGCACCAGAAGCAACACTTGAGACAGGTCATGAGAAATTTGGCAAATTTGTTTTCCGCAGCTGGAAGAGAAGGGAAAGGTTGTCAGGGTGAGAGCAGAGTGGCCCAGCTTGGCAGAGACCCCCAACTCCTCATTATACACACTCTTCAGTCCAGGACTCAAAGGCCTCATCCACTCAAGGAGATAGAGAAAAGAGACCAACTCCAGAGTCTTCAGCCCCACCCCTAAATAGAACCAATCAGAAAGCCGTTTAGCCCTGCCTGCAAGGTAAAACCCAAACTACACACTGCGCCTAAGCCCTGCCTCCTAAGCACAAGTCAATCTGTGGCCTTCTGGGCCCCACCCTCAAGGTAAACCAATCCCCATAGACCTTCCTTTGAGAAAAAGAAAGCAGCATTAGGTCACCCACGCCCTTATAGCAGAAGCCACTGATGGACCAGGCCTCTAGAAACTCCCCACAGAGAGCTCAGCTGCTTGTCCAAAACCAATCACATAAGCCCTTCAAGTCCACACCCCCAGCCAAAACTTCAGCCCCACCCACCACCCAAGCAAGAGCCAATCCTGGCTGGTAATTTAGCCCCACCCCTCTGTGAAAGCCAATCCTAGCCCCGCATGGGCCACACCTTTTAGGCGCTGATCCAAATACTCGAGTATCACTCGGATAATCTGTACAATGGCGAGGATGAGGGAGCCAAAGGCCAAGGAGCCTGTGTGGTACCTGCGGGCATAAGGGTGGTCAGTGATTGGGCCAGAACTCCATCCCACTGTGTTCCCAACCCTGGCCTACCTGAGCGCTCGGCCAAAAGCAGAGAAGAGCGGGAAGGCGGGCATGTCGTCTGGCTTGCGCAGGGCCCAGTAGTAGGAGGCAAAGGCCCCAGCCAGCGTGACCTGTCCCAGTGCCAGCACGAAGTTGGCCAGCCAGAAGAACATGAAGACATTGAAGATCTGCAGCCCCAGCAGTGCTCGGTGGTAGCCAGACTCCCCACCATAGAAGGCAAACTGACAGCTGGCTTTGGGGCACGAGCGGGATTCAGTGGAGTTGAAGAAGGTCTGGGGAAGGGGCACAGAGATGAGTCAAAACACAGCGACTAGGAGTTCAGAGCGAGCTCTCAAGGCATCATCATCAGGGAGCAGGTGAGACCAGGGGGTAAAACAGAGGTCTTGGGGATTGGAGTGAAGTTAAGAAATTAGGAGTTCAGGACAAGGGCTGTGGTAAGCAAGCCGGGAGTTCTAGAAATAAGAATGGTCATCATAAGGGTCAAAAAAGGATGTAGGGAAAGGGAATTAAGACAAAATGGAAAGAGGAGCTGGGCGTGGCAGTGCACGCCTATAATCCCAGCACTCTGAGAGGCTGAGGCAGGTGCAAATTTGAGGCCAGCCTGGGCAACTTAGTATTTTAGCAAGACCCTGTCCCCCAAAAAAATATTTTTAAAAGGGATGGGGGTGGGCCGGGGATTTAGCTCAGTGGTGCTGGGCCTGCCTGGCAAGCGCAAGGTCCTGAGTTCGATCTCCGGTACCGCAAAAAAAAAAAAA